GCCTTTTTCCCAGATATGTGTTTGTCATTATAGGCTTTTTTAGATTTATGTATGGGTATTGCTTTCGATAGCAAAATTTTTTCTCTTATCGACTTATTGCTATACATTTGCAGAGTTGAAAAATTTTCGGCATAGAGAGCTTTAGGCGTTTGATACCGTCCAGCCCTAGCACCAGCCTGGATATTTGGTTCGTATATTCCATCAATAACACACAAGACTGCATCTCGTTCTGTAATACGACAGCCATAATTTATGAATTTTTACAAAAATTTACATTTTTCGCAGATAGATCTTGGTTTTTAGGAAAAGTATCAACTAATAAATATTTCCATTCGGTCCATGTATAATTATAAGATGTCAGATTATCATACCCCCCTCCTTGCCACTCCGGGTAATCTATTTTACATGACAAATATATTCATAGGCTCATCCCAGTTTTGTAACTCTGCTAGTTGTACAATTTTGTAAACTCGTTTAGTACTACTTAAAGCTGGATTACTTAGGGCAAATTCCGGTACGCGATCAGGTTTAATATAGGAATTGGTGGGCAACGCGAGGCCTGTCCGAATCCTGCGGTGATAATTTTTCCATTAAAGAATCCACCAATTGAGCTTGTTGAAATACGAGGTTCATCGCTCGCCGCGTTGCGTGACGAAGTCGGCGGTGGAGCAAAACTCGTCCGAATTATCCGACGTCGTTCTATGGCGTCGCGTAGCCATATTATAATATAAATCAAATAATCTGTCCAATAGGCTGTTAAACACACGCACACAGTAGCACGATACCGCTCGAGAAAAAAAAAATATAACAAAAGCCCCAAGGTTGTTATCTCGCCGCTGCAGTATAAACACAAAAAATTAAACGGAAATCAATAATGTGTAAAACTATGGCCATATAACTATATTGTCGACCTAACAATCAAAAACCAAAGTTGTCAACATGCGAATTATGTTCAAGCGAACACGAGGTGACTTTTTAAAAACTTTATTTTCAAAATACAATCGAAAATTAAGAGTTTCTGCAGCAGCAGTTACAACAAGAATAATCATATTACTTAAAACTAAGACTTTATAGGTTCGTATCGGAAAAGCTGACAATGTGAATCTCACGGTCTCTTCATAGTACCATCGTGGCCAAATGCAGACATCGTAGATCTCCTGGTGTCCTATCCTTATTACGTAGAAATCATTGTACATAACTAGCGCTATCATTCTAATAATTCTTACTACGCCTTTTCGTGTAACTAACTTATTCTATTACATAATTATATACAGGGTGTGCCGAAATTAGACGTCAATATTTTAACCACGTATTCTGTGGCCCAAAATAAGGTTAAATGAAGAGGTGATGGCAATTTTTTGTAAATATTTTCGAAACACGTAAATACTTTTAACTAGAATGTGGTACAGTTACTGAACTTTTTGGGCTAATTAAAACTTAGTATTGGATTGTCTTCAGAGGTGGGCAACACGGAGAAGGCGTCTTAAAAATTTGCCGGAAATTTTTTGTTCGTCGAATTTTCGTAATTTGGACTGCAGAATTTGAAAATCTCCGTAAATAAGGTAGCCTTGTCGCACCTCGCTAGAACACGCCGTTTTCGAGAAAAATGCTTTTGACAATTTAATTACTTTTTTTTATTTTAATGTTTACAATCGAGGTGCAGATAATCATTTGTGCGTGTGTTTGTGATGCTAGGTAAATAAAAATTAAATGTCAATTATTTGACAGCTTTCAATTTTGTTCATTGTTGGTAAAAAATAATTTTGGTTAGTTTTTTACTTGAATTGTCCTTATAAATCCATTGATTAACGAAAGACAAATCGAACTATTAACTGTAAAGCTAATTATTCTAATAAAAAGTATATATATAATTTATTGTTGATAAAAAATAAGCCATTTAAAGCTGATGGAGTTTTCAAATAGAGAATTAGCAGATATTCATTTTGTATACGGCATTTGCAATGGCAGAGCTGGGGAGGCGGTACAAGAGTATCGTAGGAGGTTTCCTAATCGTCGAGTTTTTATTAATGCATATAGGCATTTAGTCGAGCATGGATCATTTGAACGTAATCGTGGACAGGGGAGACCGTGGAAGATGCACTGAATTTAAATGAAGATGACCCAATAAGGAGTATTCGAACTGTTTCCATTCTTTCGGGAATACCCCGATTAGCAGTAAGTAATATCATTTGTTTTTTTAATTTACAATTTCACCACTGCTATTGTTACATTAATTCAGCGGCGGATCCAGAATTTCGTTTTAGGGGTAGGGGGCATTTCGTTCAAGGGGAGATATTTTTGGATGATTTGTAATGCATCAGCATTAAGGCTAATTTCAAAATAAGCATCGCCGGTTAAGGCGGCGCGGCGCTTCAAAATCATGATTAATGAATTAAATGATACCGTTCACATAACTTTTCAACGTTTTGAAACTATTTTTTACCAACAATGAACAAAATTGAAAGCTGTCAAATAATTGACATTTAATTTTTATTTACCCAGCAACACAAACAAATGAAACGCGTCATTAACTCACTAATGATAATCTGCACCTCGATTGTAAACGATAAAATAATTTGTAATTAAATTTTCAAAAGCATTTTTCTCGAAAATGGTGTGTTCTAGCGAGGTGCAACGAGGGTACCTTATTTACGAGGAAAACAGATTTTCAAATTGAGCAGTCCAAATTAACGAAAATTCGACAAACAAAAAATTTGGGGCAAATTTTTCACACGCCTCCCCTGTGTTATCCACCCCTGAAGACAATCCAATAGGTACTAAGTTTTAGTTTGTTAAATAGAGCCGAAAAGGTTTAGTAACTGTACGTGTTTCAAAAATATTTACAAAAAATCGCCATGACCTCTTTAAATTTAACAGCCTGTATGTTAAAAACTAAGACGTTTTGGACCCTAGGTTATATGAACATTTATCCTTATTTTGGGTCACAGAATACGTGGTTAATGTATTTGCGGCAATTTTTTAATTTTATTGTTTTTTCATTTTGATCCTTATTATTATAGTTCTGTAGGTATATGGCTCCTTTTCAATAATTATTGGGCATTCACTTAATGGTACTGGAAAGATCTATTTTTCCATTAACTTTTTTAGCATTTTTTTGTTTTAAATGAAATCATTTTACTTATCAAAATAAAACAAAAATTTGTTTTAGACAACGACATAACACACAGGAATGTTCAGATATCTATTTTTTTTACAGACTTTTTTTGCTTACTAATAATTTTTATATAATAGATATAATTATTTTTCATCACTATACAGGGTGATTCGTGGTGGATGGTAGAATAAAAATTATTTATAGAAGTTCCTTTTTCGCAGGTAATACAAAATTGAACTCCACCATCGTGATCTTGGAAATTATAAGGGAAACGAGTGTTGTTAAACTAGAGCAACATTGGTAATTTCAGTCCTTAACAATATGCGGTTTAGATATTTTTAACATTCCAAGTAGTTTCGGAAATACTTGAGAAAATCTTAAAAGTTGATAAGCTGCAGCCCTGTCACATGATCTTATTGTATCAATCCTATATACCGTGATGGCTTTAGATTTTAGTTTTTTACTATGCTGTACTTTTGGATCCCATGATCTAAGAAAACTATGTCAAATAAAAAGTACTTTGTTACCGGGTTGCGGTACGACCAGACGTGTTCTTTTTTAACCTGTCTCCTCTAAGTAAAATAGAAGTTAAACAATAAAATAACAAGCCCCTATACAAAAGCACTTGGCACTTATTTTCAGTTAGCATTAGTTAAGTTATTTTCCCTCATCCAAAGCATACAAGAATTTTTAACTCTAAAGATGGTTTGCTTGGTTATGTTATGAATTCATTGATGAATTGATATATAATAAATACATTTCATTTTTGATAACAAATAAAAAAATCACCAAATTAAAGTTGTTTATAAATTAACTTCCTTTCCTTTTGCATCGAAATTTAATCCACGATTCATAAAATTAATAAAAAAACGGTTTCACAGTACAGTAAATAGGAGATGCATTTTTTTTGGTGGCCAACCCTGTGGCGCACCCATTCTGATTTGAGTTTGCAACTTTTTACAATCTCGAAAATGGATTTAAATTTGCAACAAAGAATTTGTATAAAATTTTGCGTTAAAAATGGATTTAATTGTGCGCGAACGCTACAAATGTTGTAAAAGTGTTTTGCAACGATTCTCTAAAACAAATGATCGTTTACCAGTGCCACGAGTGGTTCAAAAGAGGCGTGAGACAGTCAAAGATGATGAACGCAATGGCAAAGTAGGTAGAATGGTAGAAGGCCAGAGACTAAACAAAGAGTATTATTTGTGCGATATGAGACACTTGCGTGATGAAAGAGACCAGAATTGGGGCTAGAAAGCTCGCGGATTTTGCACCCTGATAACATACCGTCGCACAATGCCATCATTATTCGTATTTTTTTGACAAAGAACAACAAATACTATCGCACACCCCCCGAATTCGTTTCCCTGTAACTTCTTTCTGCTGAATCGAGTCAAAAAACCATTACGGGAAACGCGTTTCGGCAGCCTAGAGGAAGAAATGGAAAAATGGCAGGAAGCACTAATGGACATACCAAAAACCAAATATAAAAAATGTGTTGAGGAATGTGTTGCAGTCGATGGGGATTAGTTTGAAGGTGCAGTATAGATTTAGATGGATAAAACATATTTTTAATTTTCTGAATAAATTCAGGGGACTTTGTTGTTTCTAGTATTGTTTTCAGTCTTAGGAATTGGACATCATTGTACATGTGTCGTCAACTGCCATTTTATTTAATGGTAGACATGCGGTTTCAGAAAATGCCAATCCGAGAGGTGATCTACAAATTTATAAACCAAATGTACTTTTTTTATTGTGGTATTGGGGAAAAGTATAAAATCCTTAAGGTTTAATTAATTAATCTCTTGTTTTGTTCCATATTGGTAAAATTAATACCATCATTAAGTAAATATATAGCTGGCTATTTGTATTTGTCTTTTAGGGTTTTAAATTGAGGGCTTGACCCTTTAGCCATCTACATAGCCTCGTGCATAGTTGCTGGGCATCGGTACATAGGGTGATACAAAGTTCATCGGAATTGTGTGCTGTTCTGGGAAACTTAAGTCCGCCGATACAGAAACCTGCGAAGGTAAGCCATATCTTTTTTTTCTTCATCAATTTAATGTGTTGATAATAAATTCCCTAACAAAATTTATGTAAGCTGGTGTGATAATTGAAAATACTTTTTCTGTACCAAAGATTTCATTTTAATTTAAATTTTTTGTATAACAAAAATTATTTCATTTGCACTTTCCAAGCTGATTATACTGAAAAAAAGTTGTAGTCTTATTCCACATATTGAGGCTGTACTATATTGTTTATTTCTCATCGTTAATTGATGCAGACAATTTGGCCATGTGGTTACACGATTATGTGTCTTAGTGGGGAACTCTGCCTCCGTCATTCTGATTGCCTGTATGACGGTATATTTTGCTGCCTTTATATATCAAAGTTTCGATATCGACATATATACAGGGTGTTTAAAAATAGATGCGAAAAATTTAGTTTCTATATAAAAAAATTAAATGTAGGTCGAATGTCAAAAAAAAAAATAAATAAAAATAAAAATAATTTTTGTTCGGTGTTGTGTGTTGTCCAACGGTATTTGTACTAACATTTATGATAATCTTCCAAACAATTATGTTTCAAAAATAATTTATAATCAAACATAAGCTGTGATTAGGTATACCATTTAGATATGCTTGTGTATAAGTACAAACTTTAAAGAATCAAAGAATTTGAATTTGTTCTTCATTACTTAAAATGCATTTCTGCATTAGTGTAATTAATCATTATTGAATTAAAACTTTTTATTATTAAACAATTGAAGGATTAGATAATCAGTTTGAATTAATGCTATTTTGTATTTAAACTAACTAAGCATTGTCAAATGAAACAGTAATAAGAAACGCCATAGGAAGTGACTATAATTTTTTTGATTATATTTTTTTATTTGTGGACAGTGAGTATTATGAAAATATTCCAGAAGACAAAAGTTTCTATATAAAACATAAAATTAACAAAATAAGTTTTTCTTTGGTGCTATATATTTTCTTCTTTCAGATAAAACATAAAAACAACATTTATTTAACCAACTACCCTTTATTTTACGCATAGAATTACCCTCTTAAGTTTTTCTTCTTTGTTTTGAAACACCATAAATACAGGGCAATTGACGCTATGGCCAAATGGTTTTCAAAAAATTTTGCTTATGGGATGCTTAAATTTCTATTATAGTATTTTTAAAAAGCCATTCAAGCAATAAGTGACCTCATCTGAATAAACATAAACTTGGGAAATTTGAATTTAAATAAGATTAACCAACTCACTCACCATTGCGAAGTTCCTGCATGAAAATAACATTAACTCTAAAACTTAGAAGTTACAAATCCCCATGAACAGGTTACTTGAAAACATTGATATTTTCAGTAATAGTTATGGTTTTCCGAATGCTGCTCACATGCTTAACGCATATATTAATTTCCATTTGACATTTACAAGATAGGTAACTCTACTCCTACTTTCCACTATTCATCTGCATTGGGTTTAAATTATTCTATTATTCTCTTTCGGTTTAAGAAAATCTAACCATGTTTTAAGTTTCACATGCATAAGGAGTGATTCTGTAGCTAAACAGGAAATTAACTATTAACTGATCTTTTGATCAAGACGAAGATTTTTGTAGTAAAAAAAGTGTTTCTTTTTTTTGCGGTTTGCACTTTTCCGCAAGGGTGATATGGTGGAGAATTTAAAACTTGATATCAATCATATGACAAAATTTAAAAATGCTTCCTTCTTGTAACAATGTTCCTATGAAGCGCATTTCTTCGTTTTGAAAATGACTGGTATATTGTCACTTGTTATTTTACTGGTCATCGCGATTCTAGATGTTTTAAGTTCGAGGATTATCTGGATATATTGTCCTATCGCTGAAATTTGTACCTGCATGCCACATTACATCAATTTTTTCTTGGAGAATTTTCATGATTCTTAGGTTATAACGTTCTCCGTCAGTTTAGCATTTAGTGTGCTTTTGGTATCCGTTATTCCTGGTCAATATTTTGTACGATTACCTTGATTACACCTGTATTTTTGTGTAAAACTTGTTGCATTCTGATTTTTGCCATTGTTTACTGTAATCATACGTCAAGCTTCCAAATGTCACCGACCGGAGTCGTTACTGGCGCAGTTGCCAGATTGTGGAATAGTCTCTAAGGTTTCTCGCGAAGAATAATAATTCGTTATGTTAAAATTAATTCCTTTTCAGTGTTTGGGTAATGTAACTAGATAGAACGTTTCTAGTCTTTATTACTTGTTTGGTGTTACACTTTGCTCCGCATTCTCGGTTGTGATTGATACATTGATTTGTTGGTTGATTTGGCATTACGCGTCGAGTTTATCGTGAATGCGGTGGAGTGAGACGCCTAATGGGACTATGTGAGTGTTAGACAAGGATATCTTGATCTTCGTTGTTCGTGAGGGTTGATTTTACATGTGAAAGGAAGAACACATTAACGTTCGAATGGGCTTCGCAGTGTAATTGAATTTTTCGGTGTGATTTGGTGATTTTAAAGAAAATACCAGGCCACTGAGTTGAGACATCCGCCGAAGATTCTTCGAGTAAACTATTGTGCCATTATCTGGATCAGACATTTGGATGTTTTTGTATATGTTTTCTGATAGGTTGTCTACGCCATTTTGGGGATGTGATATACGTACCTCATGCATCCACATGAGGTTCTTATTTTTGCTTTGTTGGCACAATGGCAATTAGTTGATACGTCTTTCACTCGCACGTAAACCCCGATCATCACCTACAGGTATGTGATATTTTATTTCGGGTGTAGTAACTGATTTTTGCCATTCCATTACAGGGGTTTTTCTTTTTTTCCTTTTTTCCTTGTACGGCAACGTTTTGGATTTCGACAACTATTTGCTGTTCGCTGCTGGAGTGACTGGCTTAATTTGGTAGCAGCTTTTGACCGCAACCAGTCAATCGATCGCGACCGTGCTATCGGATACAGCCGGATTCTAAATCAGCGTAGACGACTGCAGCCACTACTTACAGGAACCGCAAGGTATAACACCTTTTTTTTATTCAACTGAATTTAGCAAAACTGAGTTTATATTTAGCCTTTTAAATTTTTAATTATCATTTTCATAAGTTAGTTAATAAGTATTTTACGTACTCTATAAGTGAGACATTGCATTATGGGGGGTACGTCCATGTAAACAATCGTGATCAAGGGTTGGTTAAAAGTACTCACTCAATTAATAGTTTTTTTTTTATTCATTTATTTTGCGGCACACAGACATCTTTGAATCTTTTAATACTTGATGCAACACATCTTTTTTCCTTTTCCTTTAGTCAGTTTTTCTTTTCCTTTTTTTATCCCCGTCGCTTTGATGTATTTATATACATATTCTTTTATATACTAATTAGACTCTTCTGATAAAGTCTGGTCTCTGTTCTTGCACAACAGTTTAACTCCATTTATCACAGACTAGTAGTGAATGTAATCATGTGGAGCTCAAAACCACCATCTTAACGGCGACCCGACTTCACTGTCTAAAAGTTACGTCTATAACATTCAGTGTGACAACAATTGCAGATTGGGACAAGTTTTTTTTTTCTTTATTTCTTTAAACATATTTCACACTATCTTTCCCAGTTGAACGAGCTATCCGCCGTTTAACATGATCTCCAGAGTCATTCTGCAAACTAGCGAAATTTCATCAGAAAACACTATAGTTGTCCCACGCTAAAGCACTTGTGTAGTAGAAAAAGTAAGGGCACCCAAATGGATCCATTCAAAATGGACATTTTTAACTGACTACACATATTTTTGTTGAAACTACTGTCTCAAATTAAGTCTAGAAAATTTGAAAAACTTGAAACTAAGAAAACATTCTTCTAATTCGAAAAAATTAATTCTGGAACTAAATATTTTATGAACCATTCTTGAAAAATTTCTTGAGTCATCTAACCATTATTGCTGTTTGCTTTCCAATTATCAGTGGCGTCAGGTAATGAGATTTTGATGCCTTTGCAGTAGGTCTACGACATTTTCCTTGGCCGAGTTGTGAGGGTTGCCAGCTGGTAAAAATTGCATCGAATTGACCTTTTTCTTTGACATTTTCACTATTTGGCATTCTTAAACTGTGCATTTTTTTTTAATGTCAACAATGGATTCAATTATAATTCACTCTCATCTCACAACCAGTTTCAAAATCAAAATATGAAAAATAATTTTAATAGAATTCTCTGAAATTTATTGAATTTTTATAACATTGATTTTCATACAACCAACTATGGCGTTAACTCGCCTATGAATCGAATGTGCAAGCTGACAAATATTTTACTCACAAATAACGAGCGTATTGATTTATTTTCTGACTCTCAGTAGTTTTAATTGCAAAGTAAAGACTGTTTTTAATCAACCGGTCGCCTTGTAAACGTGGTAGTTTAGCAACTGTAAGTGTTGTTTGTAAGTGTTGGTGTTACTATTTTTCTTAGGTTAAACTATACTGTAATGACAATATAAATGCTAAATGCGTAAATAAAAAATTTGATTTTAATTGTATAATGTTTCACAAGCGACAAATCATAATAAAATTCTGGGTTGACCAGCTTTTCAACCAGATGTTAGAAAAATAAATACAACTAAATTCAATTTCAGGTATAAAGAAAACGGTCTTATAATCTTCAGGAGGAATAATTTAGTTTTTCTACTCCCGTCTGTAAAATACCTAATTATCCACCGATCTAGCGTGCGGGAAGCGTCACTTTACCACGAATTCGAGCCACTGCGGACATTTTCGCGATTTTACCGCAAGGTTTGGGAGCAATCGGATGTTATCGGAGATAATTCCCACGTTTTGAATTTTGACGTTTGTCAATTCTGATGGTCATGTCAGTGAATGTATTCGTGTGTTACGAAAATGTACCCAAAAACTAATGGTCGTAGAAAAAGTTTAGTATGCAACACGTCCGGTAAACGTTTTAACTCACTCGTTTATTAAACACTCGCTCCGCTCGTGTCAAATAAATTCTCAACATTGTATATTATGACTTCATATTTCAATTTTACTTGCAGCATTCGCACTTTGTAATCAGTTGTACAGGTCGATTGTGTTTTTTTATTACATTAGATACTTTATAGTTTTGGTTAGTTTTGTTGTATATTAATGAATATATAATTAATGAATTTTAGGCCTGTTTTTTTCATCCCTTTACAGTAGGTATCCCCCCTGGCATTGAGGCCTTTATTGCTTAATGTGGCGCAGCTTTTGTCGTATTGTCCGGCTCTTTGACCCATAATCGTGAAGTGGGATAGATGAAGGAGGGCATCATATATGTTTTTGGCTTGTTGCGAATGCGAGTGAGGCTGGCAATTTCAGATTAGACTAAAACTAAGAACTGTATTCAATTCGTGTAGCAAGAATAAGTGGCTTTTTGTAAAATTGAAGGTTTTCGGTGTTATTGTTGGTTTAATGCATTTCGTGCCAGTTATTTTTCACTGTAAGTGTCCATATTCCTTGTCTGCTATAGTGCCAACGCCCTTTTTGAGATATATACCCACATCTACCTCGATTAAAGCCTAAAGGTTTGTGATATTCTATTTTGCGGAATATGTATTAACTATTTTAATTTCCTTGCAGATTTTTTGGGTTTCCTATTTTCTACATGAGATATTCAAGCTTGCGATTGCTAGTCGCAGGAACAGGGTAGAATTTGGTTTTTGGAGTGATGGCTTACTTTTCACACCAGATCGGGTAACTCCCCGTTTGGTGGAGCTTTTTGCAGCCCAACAGCTCCTTCATTTTGTTGTTCGCCTGTAGATCATCGGCCAGGACGACTGTAAGTCATAACTGTTTTTCATTATTTGATTAACAACCTGATTAACCGAATTTCTATATGAGGAGGCATAATATTCAGTGCCCTTGATTGCTAATAAAAGAAAAACTTGTGGCGCATAATATTGTAAGCAAAAATATATGAAAGAAAGAAAGAAAGGGAAATAAAATGAAACACTAAAATAACTAGTTATTGATAATGGGCCAGGGACTGAGTTGCAATTGATTCTGAAAAAGATTCTGAAACTAGGTTTGATTATTGATGTAATTAAAATGGTGTTCTGTCAAATAGGTTTGAAAAAGCTTCAAAATAGATGCAAAACATCCTAAGGAGAATACTCATTATCTTATATTTCCTAGGACTGACTCCCACAATCCACAAAAAATCAAAACTGGATGCTTGAAGTACTATATTTTTTCTACAGTATTGACAAAATTGTACATACTTCTTTCCATAAAAGTTAATTGATCGATAACTAAATGCCCATTCAAGGTGTATTTTATTCTATCCAATCCGAAAACTTACTTTTTTTTTGTTTTTTATCTATAATACATGGGATATTCAAGTGTTATCTTAGTTTTGTGATTGTGGTTTTATGGCTTATCCCCTTTATTAATAAAGCTAGCGTGTTGCAGTTTTTGTCATACAGGGTGGCTTTGAAATACTGCATTTTCAGAAACACTTGGTAGTTTGGTTATGCGTTAACTTATTGAAAAGGTGAAGACTGACGTAGGTATAGTTTTGTACGATCCAGTGGCGTAGTCAGTTTTCTTCTCAATTTTTCCTGATTACGTCAGAGCTAATTCAAATACAATCATTTTATTTTTTTATTGAGCAAGTAATGACCAAATGAGCTTCTGCTTTCATTAATGCTTCATTAATGTTGCAAATCTTTATATATTTTGTCCTTATTACTGTTGTGACTAACTTCATCACCCCACAAAGCAATCTACAAAATATTTGGCCTGCCTTACATATATGAACTTGTTCTTTTTTGCCAAATCTAACAGCTGTATTCCAATTATTTCCAAGCAATTGTATTAATTGAAAAATATTTCTTCATGCTTTTTTTTAAACTGCATTTTTTCCCAATAAATTGGTCCCAAATAATTTATGAAAAAAAAAAAAAGAAGATGTTTGACGAATGTGAAATATGTTTTATCCCAAAAGCAGTGTAAAGAATAAGAACGCGCATATTTTTTGCACAGAACTAGGTCTATTTTGCCAAGGTTTGAAATAGTTTCTTTGTAGATAAAATTTGCAAATTACTGTTTATTATTTTTTTGTGTGTTTATAAATTTTGAATTTTTTATTGTACTTCCCGAGTAGTAGTAGAGTATTTTATTGGAGTGTTTTCAAAAAAAATGTTATTGAAATCAGAGATTTTTTCTATGATAGTTTGGTTTAGTTTATTTGTATATGCAAGATATATCTTACTCTGACTTTCTAATTTTTAATAGGATGTTCTGTATGTTACTGCAAATTTGGACGAGTCGAATGACGTAATGTATTGTGTGGGTCTGGGTACCAACGTTTCGGATTTTTTGATTTTGTTCTTCAGTCTGACAAATTCTTGAATTAACAAATTCTGTAAATAAAAGTTTTTTGAGATTTGTTTGCATGAAAAGAAATCGAAATGTTATTTTAACTACACATGTTTAAACATTATTGTTAAAATTTAAACATGTTACTGCAAACTACACGTTTTGCTATTAAAACATTTATTGATTTACTTTTTACAAAATTTCTTGATTCCTCCTGCGTCAGTTTTTGCTGAGTCGAACTTGCTGACGTTTCGCCAATCATACTGTTGGCTTTTTCAGCGCTTCACTGAAACTGATTCGTATTTTACTCTGGACCTGCTTATATATTGTTTGAGGGGGGCAGAGCTAAATGAGCGACATAAACACCGTCTCGGATGACTGATCCCCATTTTGATGACAGATAAAGACCTGAGTCGCGATTAAGATTGTTAGGTTGTTTATAGATTTGTATAGATTGTCGGATTTTTCGTTGGTAGAAGAACTGATTACATGCAAAAATTTTAGTTTTATCGAATAAAATGTTATGTCCGGTTTCATGAGTGTGTTCGGCAACAGCCGATGAGTTTATTTGTGTTAGAGGTAAGGCTCTTTCGTGTTCTTTGAGCCAGCTGATATTTTTCGTCCGGTTTCTCCAATTTATTCTTTGCCGCATATGCATGGAATGCTGTAAACCCCTGGCATCGCAAATGGAATTTTGTTTTTGACGGACCGAAGAAGTTGAGAGATTTTTGAACAAATGGTAAATCTGGTTTTGACGTTATACTTCTTTGGAACTTTTGATATGTGGTCAGTGATCGCTATTGGAAGGTTGTGGTGAAGTGTATTTTTTGATAGAACGCTCAATATCTTTCATGTGGAAATTATTAGAGGGAAGAGCAGAGGTAAGGTGTTTTAATTCTGGGTTCAGTGACCCGGGCTGAGATAGTTTTACGGCTCTGTAAACAAGAGAGTTGATAACCGATGATTTTTGGGCCGGATGGTGATGTGACGATGCATTAAGGTATCGGTCTGTGTGCGTAGGTTTTCTATAAACACAATGACCCAATGTTAGGTCTGATTTTCTATTGATGAGAATATCTAAGAATGGAAGGTTATTATTAGTTTCCAACTCATTGGTAAAACGTATGTTATTGTGTATAGAGTTTAAATGGAAATGTACTAGGGTTTCTTGACCATGAGGCCAAATAACAAAAGTATCATTCACTTAGCGTTTAAATAATTTTGGTTTTAGATGAAAGGTGTCGAGAGCTTTCTTCTCAAAGGCTTCCATAAATATATTCGCGATGACTGGTGATAGTGGAGAACCCATAGCTGTTCCCGAAGTTTGTTCAAAAATTTGACCGTTATAAGAAAAATATGTTTCCGATAAGCATTTTTCAATTAAGGTGAGAAGGTTGGGTTCCAGATTCTCGGATTTTAATATATCTGAAATGATGTCTAGAGTTTCGGGAATAGGAACTTTGGTAAAGAGGAATTCTACGTCGAAACTAACTAGAATATCTTGTGTATCTAATGTAATGCTTTTTAATTGTTCAATGAAGTGAAAGGAATTAACTACGAAACTGAACAATTAAATTAAAAAGCATTACATTAGATACACAGGATATTCTAGTTAGTTTCAACGTAGAATCCCTCTTTACCAAAGTTCCTATTCCTGAAACTCTTGACATCATGTCAGATATATTAAAGTTCGAGAATCTGGAGTCAAAACTTCTCACCTTAATTGCAAAATGCTTGCCGGGGACATATTTTTCTTATAACGGTCAAATTTTTGAACAAACGTCGGGAACAGCTATGGGTTCTCCACTATCACCAGTCATCGCGAATATATTTATGGAAGCCTTTGAGAAGAAAGCTCTCGACACCTTTCATCTAAAACCAAAATTACGGAAACGCTACGTCGATGATTCTTTTGTAATTTGACCTTTTGGTCAAGAAACCCTAATAGATTTTCTTAGATATTTAAACTCTATACTCCCAAACATACGGTTTATTATTGAACTAGACACTATTAATAATCTCCCATTCTTAGATGTTCTTATCAATAGAAAATCAGACCTAACATTGGGTCATTGTGTTTACAGAAAATCTACGCGCACAGACCGATACTTTAATGCATGGTCGGTCACATCACCATCAGAGTTAAAACACCTTACTTCTGCTCTTCTCTCTAATAATTTCAATATTAAAGATTTTAAGCCTTCTATCAAAAAATACACTTCACCACAACCTTCCAATAGCGATCACTGACCACATATCAAAAGTTCTAAAGAAGTATAACGTCAAAACCAGATTTACCACTTGTTCAAAAATCTCTCAACATCTTCGGTCCGTCGAAAAACAAAATTCCATTTGAGATGCCATGAGTTTACAGCATTCCATGCATATGCGGCAAAGAATACATTTTAGAGACCGGACGAAAAATATCAACTAGGCTTAAAGAACACAAAAGAGCCTTACCACTAAGACAAATAAACTCATCAGCTGTTGCCGAAAACACTCATGAAACTGGACATAAAATTTTATTCGATAAAACTAAAATTTTTGCATGTAATCAGTTCTTCTACCAACGAAAAATCCGAGAGTATAGAAATCTATAAGCAACCTAACAATCTTAACCGCGACTCAGGTCTCTATCTGTCATCAATGGGGGAAGTTCGATACAGCAAAAACCGACGCCGGAGGAATCCAGAAGTTTTGTAAAAAGTATGACAGTACCCTGTGGAAGTTTCTTTGAAAAATTTATTTATTTATTTAAATGTAACCCCCTGTATTGGCCTTGTGGAATTGACCGGTGAATTTTTTTTTGTCAATTGATCGAAATGATTTTGAAAATACAATGAAGTTTATATTTATTTATATTGTCCGTTCTGAGAACTAAATGGATTTCATAGTTTTATTGGGATTTCCCGAATTACTAAGTATCGTATTCGGGTATTCGTTGAAGAGGGTAAATTGGACATCACAAACGCATAATAATTTATTACAAAAAAATATTATATGATAATAGATAACACTCTACAATTGCAAAATGTTATATTTTTTACTACTCAATTAAGAAGTGGCCAATTGAACAGCTACACTGTATTCAGGGTGAGTCGAAAAGATGGGTCAACCCCTTATTGACAAATTTGTTGTTGTAGTTGTAGTTTTTTGTAGTTGTTCGAAATTATGCCCTATAATGCAATTTTTCATTTTCGCCCACTTTATTTAAAGAAATAACATTTTTATTTCTCTTTCCGAGTTTTTCAATTGGTATACATAATTGTCCCGCAAATAAAAACGGCATACTAGCAGAAAAAGGTGCTGTCCTGTGTCCTATGACTCCACTATATTTTTTCGATGTACGCCTCTGGTCGTAAAACTCACATTGTTTGATATACTTTGCATAATTTTTCTTATCTTATGTATTCCCGATTACAATTTTAGTTTTTAGATATTAAGATATTTATTAATTAA